GGGGGGAGCCTCAGCAGGGACCTATTGGAGAACAGCCACGCCAGCACTTGCCTCCAGTGCATGGTGGTCATGGAACTGGAGGATGCGCTTGGACAGGTTGGGCAGACTCAGGATGTCCATCCATCCTTTCACCCCACAGCCGCCTTCTCAGTCCCCTCTTCTTCACATCTCCCTGCCACTTCCACACCTGCCCTCCCCCTCCCTCCCCTCTACCACATACAACAGAAAACAGGCAACCTGTGGCTTTCTGTACCCTGCTTATTTATTATTATTTTTATTTTTATGTATTTGATACAGGGTCTACAAGGTCTCACTACACAGATCGGACTCATAGTGATCCTCCTGTTTTCAGCCTCCCAAGCGCTGGGATTACAGCTGCAGGGCACACCGGGGATTGAACCCTGGCTGCTGTGCTCTGCCTAAGCAGGCCCTTTAGTCTGCTGAGCTATCTGGCGGCCTTTGCACCCTGCTTATTTCACTTAATGTGGTGGTCTGGAATTCCATCCGTTCCCCGCAAACGCCATGACTTTTCTCCTCTTTCTGACTGAATAGTGATAGGTACTAGGGCAGCAGAGAAACAGGCAGAAGGAAGGAGGGAAAGGGGCTTTATTTTCTTTGAGCACACAGGAGAGAATGTGGGGAAGGATGAGGAATTTTGTCTCTGGACTAGACACAGGGAGGCTGAGGCTCTTATGGCCTTTTACCAGGGAGGGGTTTGAAGGGGACATTTAGATATACCTGAGAAAATGGGGGTCTTTTCTGAGGTGGCAGGAAGGGTGGAAGTAGATTATGTCTTGGGCTGAGTTGGAGAAGAAGGGGGAGGTGGTCTTGGGGAAGATGGCTTTGTTTTAAGGGCTTCAGCCATGTTAGATGACCGCCATGATGATTTTAGCATACTAGGGCCCGAACCTATCAAATAGTACTCCGCTGTGGACGCGCGCCACGTTTTCCTTATCCGCATCCCTGGGGATGAGCCCTTAGGCTGCTCCCACGTCTTGGTTACTTGAGCAGCGCTGTTATCAGCGGGGTATTTATCTATCTGTAATGTGCCAACTTCAACTCCTTCAGTACACACAGCTGGGTCAAATACTACCTCTATTTTTGGTTATCTGTGGAG